AAGTTGACTCATCTTGAGCTCAGTGATCAATTCTTTCCCAGCTGAAGTTGCCAGTTTTACCCAGTGCTCTAGGCTGCCTTTGTCTCATCCATCACTCAGGTATTGCCAAGGAAGTGATCTTCCAGAATTTTATCAATTACTTTACATATACAATGAAAATAATTTCCAACAATCAAAGAAAAGAGTCCTTCCTGCACAAATTTTTAAAATGTCAGAACTAATGTCAGAATCATTGGAAAAGGTATTTATCATCACACAAAGAAAAAACGACACAACTCATTTGGATAAACTGATGAAAGCAATCTTGTTGCTGTATTAGTGACACCAATAAAATGATTTTTTAAAAAATCATGCAAAAGACCTTTACAAATTTTCCCTCTTCATTTCCTCTTGACAAAGCTTGATTTTTTTTCCTCATAGTTTTGGACTGGGAGCACAAGTGATCTATATTCTATTGCCAATTTGATGATACAGTAGTGTACAAATTACTTAAGAGAACAATAATTTTGACATGATTTCATTATGTAACAGCAGCCATATGTGTCTGTGACTCAAAACCTTGACCAGATCCAACTGGATTGAGCTGGTTTCCACATTTTTAGTGAGTTCTCTGCCAATTGATTGCTAGATTTAGTTCTTTACAAATGTATTTCATTTGTTGTGTTTTTAATTCTGTGGTTTTAAAGAATGGGTATTATTCAAAGAGATGTGCAAAAGTTATAGTTCTTAAAGAGCACATTTCAATGACTGTTAGAGGTATTGCAGTGGCTATTGGTGTTTCAAGGATCAATCAAACCGACGATGAAATAAAATCAATTACATCAAAGCACGAACAGGACAGCTGACAACAAAAAATAGTGCCAAGAACCCACCAAGCTTTGTTAGGTGATACAGCCTAATTAATCTTCAGGAAAAAAGTAAAGACCTTCTGAGGGACCTAGAACCTTGAGGGGTTGTTACTGATTCCTCTACAGTGAGGCATAGGTTTGTCTAAGTTGGAAAAATGGTGAGAATGCCAGAAAACATAGAGAACAATTTGTTCCAATGGCTATGAAGGAGGCTGAAACAGGCACTTATGGAGCACTCAGAGCTTGGTCAGACGTTGAAAGTGCCAAGATCATTGACTGCATTCCAGGCCATCAACAGTCATCCTGAATTTTGTCTTGCCACTGAACTTGGATGACTCTGGAAGAGAGAGTGAAGCTGATGACTTTGCACAACTCTGTCTCACTAAAATCCAATTCACTCATGAGTCAAGACATCACCTGTGATGTTATTGGTTCTCTTTGAAAACGGAGGACAAACAACTGTTGCTATGAAGAAAAAATTGCTTATTATGGGCAAGATAATACAAAATATGGAGTACTGATGCTTCTCAAAAGTACTTTTTACTGACAGAACTCACTTTTTCGTTGAAGATCATATGAAAACCAGAAGTCATCTAGATGGCCCTGTAAAGTTTGAATGTCTTCACTAGACATCCACCTGAAAAATTTGGGTGACTTTTTATTTCCAGTGGGCCTATAAGTCTTGTTGTCATTGAGGGAATGATGAACTGATAAATATATTAATATGTTGAGGAGAATAAATGTTGTAAAATTACAGGAATTCCCCCAATCTCTTGTAAAATACTGCAAAACACATCTCTGCACCATGCCACAAATGGTTAAGAAATTAGTGTGAGAGAGAAAGGGGGAGAGAGAGAGAGAGAGAGAGAGAGAGACAGAGAGAGAGAGAGAGACAGAGACAGAGACAGAGAGAAAGAGAGAGAGAGAGAGAGAGAGAGAGAGGCAGAGAGAGAGAGGGAGAGAAGCAGAAAGGGAGAGAGGAAGAGAGGGAGAGAGGAAGAGAGGGAGAGAGAGAAATTTGCTTCAATAATCTGGGAACTCACCTGATTTAAAATTGAAAACCTGTGTGGGCAGGGCCTGTCTTAAAACAGTTCCCTGGTATTTTAAATCTGATATTAGAATGGAATGAGACATCTCGTTGTCATTCAACAGTTAACAAAAGGAGATTTACTTAGCCATAGAAGGACAAAGATATTCTATTCATTGAGGATACTGCAAGTTGATTTATCTGAGTGAAGCTACCCTGCCTCTGAAATTGCTGCAGGTGGTCCACTAGTCAAACATCAGAAAGCACCTGGAGTTCCTTGTGGCCGTTTTGTACTCAGGCAAACTAGAAGGGTTGTTAACAGCCCAAAGCTTTAGTTACCTGAGAATTTTATCTCAAAGATAGTTTCAATACCTTTTGAGGAAAAAACTATCTTAACTTTCATGGAGGTAAGGGGTTAGGATATAATTCCCACCACAAAAACTTTGACCTATAATTAAAGCTTGACTTGGGAAAATAGGCTGTTCATCAAAGGTAATATCTTAATATCCAAAGGAATGTGTTGGTTTGTGGCAAAGAATATGTGTTATAATCTTGGGAACTCAATGCCAAATTGTGTAAAACAAATGATTGCAGCAAAAGCAGGATATATTGCATATTAAGTTTTTTTATAGATGTAAAAAAATTATAAGGTTCATTGTAGAAGTAAATAAATTTAACTATTTTACTTTGTCCCAGTTAACTTGTACTCCACAGCAAACTGGCTTTGTGACTTTGGGCAAATCACTTCCTTTCTAGACTTCAGTTTCTATACTCCTAAAACAATGAGGTTAGCTACTAATACCCCTTCCAGCTATAGGAGTCTAGCAATCTATAAGTAAAGCCAGGTCTGATAGATTGGACTTCATCAAAGATGACATGTCATTCTGACCCCTGTGAGATTATCAGTCTCAAGGTTTAGTGTATACAAGCATCAGGGCTAGGCTTAGCTTCATACTGTAGAATCCCATCTAACTTGACACTATCCAAGAGAGCCTTAAAGTGCCCAGTTTTAAATGGTGAAAATGTGTATAAAATTTTCCTTATTTTAAATTCAAGAATTGTCCTGCCACAGGTAATTCATCAAACACTCTACAGCTTTTTTCAAGAATGAACATTTTGAGACTTTGTTAAGGATTTTAAGGTCTAAAGCTTTTTAAGAAAGCAGATATGAAAGGGAAATGAAGGTTGGATTAGAGTAGTATCATTTGAAGGGGGCAGGAAAACTCTTTCTAAATTAGATGCTTCAGGAGGCATATTAAATAATTCCCTAGAGGACTATTGTAGTTAACTTACCTACTTTCCTAACTACCTAATTTACCAGAGAGGGACAATGGAAGAAAATAATCCAGTATCACACAGAGTGCAATCAAGGGATGATTTATCAACTTCAGTGACTCCAAATTCACTTGGGATTTTTCTCCTTTTCTAAATGGGTCCAGTAATAACAGTTCACATTTATAATAGTCCAGCTCACTTAACACTTTCTTTGTGTCACCTATGACCCAGGGAGAGCCCTCCTTTCCATAAGGACCCTGGCTTTGGATTCACATGGACCTAGATTTCTATCCCAGAGGAGAGGGCTTTTCTCTCACTCTTTGGCTCATTGCACTCACCCCAGAGTGCCACAGGAAATCTCTTAAAATAAAACTTAGGTATGGTTCATGTCTAGGGTCTCTATTAAATGAAAAAAAAATTGGGTCGCTTCTAGAAGAGATGCTCAATATATAAAGTAGATATCAGGTATAGGATAGCATTTATTTCCTTCACCACAAACTAAATGCTTAAAATCCAAAAGCTTCATAAGTGCACATTAATGAATACTTAAAACATGAAAGAGTAGTCCATCACCTATTATAGTCTCCTGAGAGTTAAAGACAACTTTGTAGAACTGCTCGAAAGATATTTCACGTTCACCTTAGATCTGAGTCTGAGCAACTCAGAAGTCCATATTTCTTGGTAAGACATGATACGACTTCCATGTTATTAGTCTTTTTAGCTACAGAATTCTCTTGGTAGCTATCATTTTCTCCTTTGAGAAAATGTAGAGGAAATCACCTTCTACTGCACAGCCAGGTCCCAACCTTTCAATTATTCAACAGAAACCCAAGAAGGTTACCTGACAGGGCTGGAAATGACCCTTTCTCAGGACTGCCCTTCAGTGGCCCAGGCTCAGGGAAAGAAATACGAAAAGGAAGAGGGAGCTAGAAACCTCAGTTCCAGTCTCAGGCTCATATAAGCAAGTCCATGCTCTTGCTACTGTGTGTGTATGCTGTCATTATTGCATGCCATGGGCAGGGGAGGGAAATCCTACCTCTCCCTAATGGAAATCCAAGGAATAGCCAAAAAGAGCAGAAAGCAGAATTTTGTCTTTGCTTTTTTTTTTTTTTTTAAATTGCTCTTAGAGCCTAGTGAGGGTAATTCTTCCTGTCTCAATTGTCAGCCATCTTCACTTAATCACAGGGACACACAAAGACTACTAGAAGCTGCTTGTTAACCATATCCTTCAGCACTGAGCCAGAGCACATGTCTGTCCATGGAGCCATGCATGCCCAGCCCCAGTTCAGCAGATTGGGGGTTACCCTGTACTTCTTTTTATATTTGCAACAGCCCTGTGAGTTGGTGATGCAAGGATTGTTATCTCCATTTTACAGATGAGGAAACATGGCTTAGAAACTTGAGGTAGCTTACTCTTCATACAACTCCATGACTCATGGAGCAATGTTTCAAACCCAAACCATCTGGCTCCTGGTCTAGTGCTCATTCCATCATATCTGGCTTCCTCTAAATAACTGGGTGTCTAATAACTGGGATAGCAACGGTTAATGGAGCTCTAAATGTGAATTTCCATTTTTCTCATTCTTCAAGGTTTTGGGAGGAGCCTGTCAGGGCAGTGACTATTACTCTAAGCAATTAGCCAGTCAGTTCCCATCTCTCCAGCCTCAAACAGATGGTCTCAGATCTCAGGTTGTAGTTTTTATCATTATAATTTATAAGATCAAAATGAGCCCCAGCAGAGGCATTTCCCGTAGCTGTAGATAAGAGGTAGGCACCTCAGTTATTGTTTCATCTGCAACGGTTCTGTCTCTCTAACCTTCCTTGTGTGTCTCTTTCTCTTTCTATCCTAGAGCCAGGAAAAATGATTGGCTCCCGCAAATTGGGATTCATTTCTGGATCCTTCCTGCTGCTGACACTCCTCTGGTGTGACACAGCATTGGGCAGGGCATCACAAAAGCAGCAACCTCAGAAGGACCAGGAGGAGACTCAGGAAGAGGTTAAGGTGGAGGCCCTACCATCACCATTGCCGGATCACACTGAAAAGTGAGACATTGGGGGCATTGGTATAAGGCATGCGAGTTGGGACTATGTGAGCTATTTGTCCTGGTGGTGTGGTATAATGAAAAGAGTCCTGGACCTGGATTCAAATCCTGACTCTCCCATTGACTACCTTATAACCTTGGGAGTTATTTATTCTCTAGAATCTCACTTCTTCCCTTGTAAAATCAGAGGAATTGGACCGCTTTGATCAAAATGAGCTTTTATGAATTCTCAATCCGATGATTTTATGAATGTGAGCCCTTAATCATTGGTTAATTGGTTGATGTGGGGTCTCCCAGCTTCACAAACTTATCACTTAACTACTATGTCTAAAGCTCTTGGCTAACAAGACAAGATTCCTGGGTTCTAAGCCTAGCATTTCTGTTAGATTACAATCTGCAGAACATTCTGGTTAGTGACTCAGTTGCATTATCTTGAAAGTGAACAATCTTTTAGTCTGGATGCACATAGCTAACTACCAGTACAGAAATTTCCTTTGATGAAGATCAGCAATGTCTATAACATTTTTTTTCATATTTGAACACAGGCCTTCCTGACTTCAATACAAATACTCTGTCCTTTATACCATGGTACTTGTATTATAACTATCTATATAAGTGCACATCTTTCCCTACTCTTAGAGTGTAAGTTCATTGAGAGCATGATCTGTATCCTATTCATCTTTTATATTTTCATTGTCTATCTAGCACAAGTACTTAATAAATGGTTGAGTTAATTAAAAAAAAACTGAATAGTCTTAGCCTTCTTCCAACATGTAGAGGAATGTGGGGATGCATAAGATAAGTCCTGTTTCCACTGCTAATTTATCTGTCTGACTTTGGACAAGTCACTTAACTTTTCAGTGACTCAGTTTCCTCACCTGTAGAAAGAAAGGGTTGGTTGACCTTTAAGGTCCCTTTTAGTCCTGAATCCTATGATTCTAGTGGAGAAGAATCATAGGATACATCATGGAATCATACATTTAGGACTAGAAGTTCTGGTCCAACCCCCTCATTTTATAGATGAAATTAAGGCCCAAAGATCAACTTGCCTAACCTTGCACAGGTAGTATGGAGGCAGAGGGAGACTTAGAACCCAGGTCCTCAGACTCTAAATCTTTAATTTTTTCACTGGACCACTTTTTTTCCCTCTTGTTCTGTTATGACTTGTATTTTCTTATTAAGTCAGCAAGATCAGAGAAGGCTGTTCCATGGAAAAAACTTGGAATCTATCTTGCCCTGGGTGTGTAGACTCTAACCTATCTGGGGTGTTGTGATAATATTTATAAAGTACATTGAGTTCCTTGTAAGACTAAAAAAAAAAGCCTATGTTGAAATTGTTACCTCATTTCTTTTACCTCTTAGTTGTCTTGAAAACTGAACTCACTTGTTCCTTAACTCTGTTTTGAGGACATAGGAAAGGGGACCCGAGCTGGGTTGAGAGCAAAGCAGCAGAGTGGAACTATATGGGCAACCTCTGGACTTAATTTTCTATTTTAGATAGAAAAAAAATCTAGAATTAAGAGAGTTAGGTTGGGTCTAGACACAATAATATGACAAACTAAGTAACCATGGGCAGATCACTTCACTTGTGTGAGCCTTATGTAATTCTAGTCTAAAACTTTAAGCCTAATGAGACCACTATTTCCCAGTCTATGTAGCACCAGCTGTGTGATCCAGAGCGCCTAGTCAAAAGTTGTCCTGGACTCAAGATATCCCGGTGCAATTCAACAAGACACCACTAGATGGTAGCATGAAACTGTTGCCTTATAGTCCTAGTGATTTTTCTGTTCTATCCAATTTCAACATGTTAACATTACAGTAGAGTATAGAAGGTTAGAACTGAAAGAGGTCTTGTAGATAATTTTTTAAAATAACCTTCATATGGGACAGGTGAGGAACCAGGCCACAAATTTATTTTATTTTATATTTGACTATTATTATTTTCATATAAATAAAGGTGTTCTATGCAACTTAGATTTATCCTGTTAATTAATAAGAGGCATTGTGCTACAGTGGATAAACTTTGAATCAGGAAAACCAGGATTTAAGATCTAGCCTCTGAAACTGACTAGCTGGGTGACCATGGGCAAGTTACTTGCTCTGTGAGTAATGTAACTCTATGTAACTCTAGCCACATGGTGGGCAGCGAGGTGGCACAGTGGATAGAGCACTAGTTCTGGAGTCACTTAGACCTGAATACAAATCCAACCTCAGACACTTACTAGCTGTGTGACCCTGGGCAACTCACTTAATCCTGTTTGCCTTAGTTTCCTCATCTGTAAAATGAGATGGAGAAGGAAATGGCAAACCACTTCGGTATCTTTGCCAGGAAAATCCCAAATGGGGTTACAAAGAGTCAGACATGACTGAAGCGATTCAACAACAACAGTAGTCAGGCTGAGTCTAGATGCAATGAATCTGACAAGCTTTACAATATAGAAGGGATGTGACCTATGCTGGTGTTTGGACAAGATCACAAGTCCTTAACTTATTGATGGCCATGTTGATATGCATTATTGTTGTGCTATTAGTTGCATAGTGGTAAGAGTACCAGATGTCCAGTCAAAAGTCCTGGTTTCAATATCCAAATTGCCATCTACTATCTGTGACCTTACCTCTCTGGGACTCAGTTTCCTAATCTTTAAAATGAGGGGGTTGTATTAGATCATCCCTCAAGACATTTCCCAGTCCCAAACAGATTCATTTTCATCTTTGTAGCTGTATCATCTAGCAGAGTGCCTGACATATATTAGATACTTAATAAATGCTTGTTGATGGGTTGATGAGACCTGATCTCTTTACATGTTGATCCATCATTGGTGTAAATAGCACCTACACAATCTTGCATCTTTCATTAATTATTTTCTAATTAACAAAGATTAATACAATGACTTGCATGGTAATAAATAGACGCTTGATGAACATTTGTTGAATTGAATGTGGTTGGTTAATAAAGGGTAAAGGATCCCTTCCAAATATTTTTTTGGTGGGTGTTGGGGGGAAACAGGGTGGTATGCATAGAATTTAAACTCACTGATTCTTCTTTGGAAAAAGACTAGGCACTCCTTCAGCATAGAAGCTAGGAGGGTGAATAGCCACTGGGATCATATTTTAAGCTCTCACAGAATCATAGATTTAGAGCTGGAAGGAACCTTGAAGTCATCTAGTCCAACTCTCTTTTTCATAGCAGAGGAAACCAAGGTCCAGAGAGATTAAGTGATTTGTCCAAGATTATACACTGGCAAAACTAGGATTTGATACCAGGTTCTCTGATTCAAAATCCAATTCTCCTTTCAATCGTGTGGAAGTTATTCAACTGAAAGAGGTGACTCCTTAGTTAGAAGGTCTCATTTTCTTTTCTGTAATCCTTTCTCCTTCAGGGTTGAAGATCATCATGAAAAGAACAACCCCAGCCTGGAAGAGCAGCCCTCTCACTCGAAATGTTTACACTGTTGTGACTCTGGCAACCCCATGTACCAGCCAATGCCAATGCCAATGCCAATGCCTCAGATCAATATCACTATCTTAAAAGGTGAGAGAGATGGTGTTGTTCTTTGACTGCTTCAAAAATGATTATAGGAGATTACTCCCTGTAGCTGAGCACGAATACTCTAATTAGGAGGGAGTTGAATAAATTCTTCTGGGGCAGGTTGGGCTATGAGGCCATGATAACTTCTTGCCTAGAGGGGAGAGAAGGAAATTCCTCCCCTACTTTTGAGATTCTAGGCAAGGTTGTGATTACCTCTTCAGGATATGGGTCAGGAGATGAATCCCTAGGATAATACAGAGCAGAATAACAAGGCATAGAGACAGTTTGGGTCTCTTCTCCCCATACTTGCATTCTTGACTGCAAGTTTCTTTGTTCTTTGTTTTGAGGTTTGGTGCTCCCCAGCCTGTTTTCTGAAATGCCACCTGAACGCCACAATACTGCGAGCATCAGATAACCTTGCACAACACTGCAAAATCTAACTGGGAACACATGTGACCTGGATTTTGTGGTGAGGAGGCTGGATCCTGGAGCTCCGACATCTGCAGTTAATTCGCTTAAAGTGAGCCATGGGCTTGGTCACTGAAACTGCTGCTTTTGGACAAACCCACATGTTCCCTTTTTCCTTGCCAGGGATTTCAAGAAAAAAAAATGTTGGGTCTGGATCAAAATAGAAAGTTCCTTGGGGTTGATGCTGTTTGAATGGATTATTTGGGAATCAAGTCATCCCTGTGCCCAGGATATGAAAAATAAAGTTGGGACAACCAAAGTAGAAGTTAGAATTTTCAGGTTGGCCCATGAATGAAGAATTAGTCTGGGAACCGTTGGTCAGGTGCTGAGAGTATGAGGGAACAGAGACTGAAGCCTGATTCCTGGGATGACAACAAAGGGGTAGACCAGTTAATGCTATATGTTTTTTTTTATATCTCTTTTAGGTGAAAAAGGTGACAGAGGAGAGCGAGGCCTCCAAGGGAAATATGGCAAAACAGGATCAATAGGTGCCAGGGGCCATGTAGGACCAAAGGGACAGAAGGGCACAATGGGGGCTCCTGGGGATCGATGTAAGAACCACTACGCCGCCTTCTCAGTGGGACGGAAGAAGCCCTTGCACAGCAACGATTACTACCAGACGCTGATTTTTGACATGGAATTTGTTAACCTCTACAGTCACTTCAACATGTTCACAGGGAAATTCTACTGCTACGTGCCGGGCATCTACTTCTTCAGCCTCAATGTGCACACTTGGAATCAGAAGGAGACTTATCTCCACATCATGAAGAATGATGCTGAGGTGGTGATACTTTATGCCCAGGTGAGCGACCGAAGCATCATGCAGAGCCAGAGCCTGATGTTGGAGCTTCAGGAGCAGGATGAGGTGTGGGTACGGCTCTTCAAGGGGGAGCGGGAGAATGCCATCTTCAGTGATGAGTTTGATACCTACATCACCTTTAATGGGTACCTGATCAAACACAACGCCGAGCCGTAAGCCAGCTCCTCAGCCTCTTTCCCAGTGCCATGGCCAGCACCTTCTCTCCTTGATATCCAAGCACCAGGCTGAATCCCTCCTGAAATGCCGTTCTTCTCCTGGACTACTGTTTCCACTCCATCTACATTCCACAGGATTCTTACTAAATGAAAAATGCTATCTGTTCCTAAATTTTGCAATGCCCTTTTGTGCAACTGTAGAAAACATATGAAATTATCAGGGAGGGGAACATATGAGAATCAAGGACTGGGGATGTCCTGCCTCCAACAGGATACAAATCCCTTAACAGCTTAGTAATATAACTGAGTTTCTCAGAAGAAATAATTTCCACTCCTGTTACTGGAACTAATTAGCAAACATTAAAAGGGTTACTAAATAGAGCAATGTAAATCATGGAAAATAAGAGAAGTAGTCTTTTTGTCTTGCCACTGAATGAAGTTTTATCCCAGAGAAAGTTGGTTTTAGCACAAAGTTCCAGAGAAATTCTTTACAGTTTCCAGGACTAGTAGTAGGAAAGTTGGGGAAAGAGTTGTTATATGGATAGATCAATTTCTACTCACTCCATTATCAAGCCCTCCTCACGGATTAACTGGACTGACTTCTTGCCCTCTCATACCCTTTTCAGGTTCCTGACAGGATGGGGAGTGTCACTGTGAAAGTACTAACTCTGCCTGCCGTGAGGTATCTGAGGGTAGAAAAGTCCCTCAGATGCTGCCTGCTCACCCGGCACAATTGGTGTCCACATGTGGCAGCTGTCCCTTTGCCTTACTCCCACACAGCATAGCTTGTTATTAAAAGAACCAAGCAGAGTTTGACTTGGCTTCTCTTTTACATTCACACTTCCTTCCAACCTGATGTCTGATTTCTGTTCTTGCTTATACTTGGGTCAGATGAGTCTAGGGACTGATGAGTAACTTAAAAAAGAAACAGGCCAGGTCATTTTGACTGCCTTCCTGGTTGTTTAGTGATATGTGTAACCATTTCAGAGATAAGCCTGCAGACTTCTCACCCTCCTTGTGGTATGTGTTGTGGCTGTTTATGGCAATGACACAACATAAGACAGCTCCTCAATACACTCTCATCATCCACGGCTCAGGAACCTAGTGACTAGTTGAGTGAGCTCTCCGGCAGGAACCTTCATATCAGGAAGTTCCATCCTTAGCAAAATAGATGTTCCCTGAGTGCCTCTTGCAACCTTATCATTGTTGCAGATACAAGACAAACATAGGCACAGGAAATACCGTACCTGATTATGCTTTCCTCCCTGGTGCTTAGAACTGGGTGGAAAGAGAAGTAGGATGTCTGTGTTCAGTGATTTTCTCAGTAGGGCAAGATAGAACATCACATGAGGCCAAAAGTAATGTAGGTGAATACCAGGGCTAGGTGTAGTGGAGAGAAGGGGAGGTCTCTTTGCCTATCAGATCATCAGAGTTTTCCTTTCATACTGATTTTGATCCTTTTGGATGGAGGGATAATGACAATGACTTAGGTCTCTCTTCATCCCATGAACTTAGCCAGGACACAGCTGAACAGCTGGCCAATCTGATAAATTCAGAGAAACCCATGACAGGGTGCATATAATGTGAGCCTACTGGTCCATTATGTGGTTTTTCTGATTTCTTGTTTTTGGAAATAGCATCTACCATTAAAAGGGCACCAGGCCTTCATCTGAAACAACTTGGAGGGAGATATTCTAGGCACAGTGCATCCCTTGTCTGTACCCTGCTTCGTTGGATTAATGAGGCCGGCTTTTTGCCCATCAAAAGTAATTGTTGTGCCAAATCCAAGCAGTACAGCTGCTCTTTGTATTATCCTTCTCCATGCCCTTTGCCAATGAGGATAAGTATCCAGCTATCCTTTACCCCTATTGCCAGCAGTTTGTGAAGAAGATGCCTTACTCCCTCTGGCGCCAGCAGGGTGGCCAACAGCTGTTTTTTTTTTTTAAACTTTGCCTATTGCCAGTGGGTGAGTAGGCTGCTATTACATACACCCCTGGAGAGGTAGCATGGGTAGGCAACTGTGATCCTATTCTCTGGTGTTGGTGGACACCTGTTCTTTTCCTCTCAGAGTTAATAGCCACTGGATATAGGAACATGTCATTTGTTTACTCTTAGCTGGAATCAGGTCATGGGGAAACCTGCCATTTGCTTTTTTTTCCCCAAAGAAGTGACTCAGGCTTTGTCTATGTGCCTGCCTTCCACCCTCTCTCTAGGGGTGAAGGCAGAGTCAAGAAGAAAATGCTAAATCCTAGACTGACCCTTGGCTAACATGTGAAATAGGCCAAGAAGCTTCATACCTCCTTTCAATGTTCCTCTCCTGTTTTATGCCTTGCTCCCCCACCACTGCACCCAGGGTTGCTCCCTGGCTACCCATGGCTCCTACTATGATGCTCCAAACTCAGGATTTATCTCTTTCTCTTCTATCCAACTCCCAAGCCAATTTTTCTATGACACATTCCTTTGCTATACAGCTCTCACCTAGTTGTCCCCAGAAAGGATCTCATTCATTCACTGAATGTTTGCTGAACTGAACCAAAAATCATTCATTAAACAACATTCTCCCTTCTCCCTACTAAGTTCTTTGAAGGCAGGGACCACATCTCTTTATCCTTGTATCCTCAGTACCTAGTGTAGTGCTTTGCATGTGCTAGCTGCTCAATATATGATTTTTTTTAAAGAAAAAATCAGAACAAATATTTGAGTGCCTCTTATGTGCAAAGCACAGCAAAAATTACAAAGATGAATAAGTTATTTCTTCTACTCAGGGTTAATAGCTGATAATAGCTCTATATATCAGCCCTCCCTGTGGTGAACTCTAGTTGTTTGTGAGAGTGATAAATCATATAATATAATTCTTCCACACCCTGCCTCTTAACATGCCTCGTAAGCTGGCAGAGTGAGATATAATATATGGTCAGCGTATTTTAGCAAAGAACTCTTGAAGATTTTAATTCCTTAAACATGGGACTATAGATTTAGAGCTAGAATCTTGAGGTTTAACTACCCTACCTTCACTTTACAAATGAGGAAACTGAGACACAGAAAGATTAAATTACTTGTCCAAGGTCACTCGGTAATAAGGCAGCAGAGCCAAGCCTTGAAGCCAGATTCACTAACTACAAATCCATTATTCTTTCCATTGTACTATCCTGCCTCCCTAATCAAAAGAATGAATCTCTTAGGTTAACAATAATTTACATGCATACAGCTATGTTATGCTTACAACATGTTCATTTGCTTCTTACTACAATCCCAAGAGGTAAGCAGGGCAAGGATTATTATCTCCATTTTACAGATGAAGAACAGAGTCTCAGAGAAGTTAAATGACTTCCCCAGGGCATACAGCTTATAAATGAAAATGTGGGTACTCAAACCAAGTAGTCCTAGTCCAAGTTTATTAAGCATTCCACACTGTCTCTGGATAGCATAGTAAGAGTAAGAAGTAGCATCAGTTGAGGTTAAGGGGATTTCCTAATGTCCCATATAGGTGTGGGGCAAGGGATCTATTCAAGGATGGCGCTGACTAAAGTCTTCAGCTGTTGTAAGGTGTAAAGTGACATCATTAGAAATACATAATGATGCTCACAGTAAGTTAGATTTTCTAAAGTGTGCTGTTCCAGACTAGTGAAATCTGGGACAAAATTCATGCCTACAGTATGATCAAATATCATCAGTTTTTGCCTGTAGATGATCTTACAATAAAAGAGAACCCACTGCATTTTACTATTAAAGTCTAAGTAAGTAATAGAGTACCAGAGAAGTAAAAATTTATTGCACGATTCCAATTATTTTGTTAGGTTCAGGAGACTTCAATCATCCAGACATCTGCTGGAGCTTTCTCTCTGCTAAGAGTAGAACAGCTAACACATTTTGACTTAATGATAATTTTCACCCCCCCCCCCCAGAAACTAGGTCCTCTCCTTGTTAGTGAAAAATCACAGGAACCCTAGGGGGAAGTAACCATTCTGTCCTAGAGTTGATGATACAGAAGAAGAGGAAATTCAGACACAGGGTGACATACACCCTAGATTTTGGGAAAGCAGATTTCAAAAGGTTCAAAGGAAGGATATATAGAATCACAATGAACTACAAGGGAATTCTACAAGGAGAAGTCAGTGCAGGAGGGGCTTTATTCAAGAATAATATTCTGAAGACACAAGGGGAAATAATTCTAATTAAGAGAAAAAATGAGAAATATATGAAGAGAAATGTGTATGTAGATACACACCAGGAACTCACAAACCAACTTAGATTTTGAAGAGAAATGTATAGAAGATGGAAGCAAGGCCAGAGGAAAGAAGATAATTATAAGAATGTGGAAAGGTCCTATGAAAATAGAGTCAAGTGGGGCAGTTAGGTGGCACAGTGGATAGAGCACCGGCCCTGAAGTCAGGAGGAACCTGAGTTCAAATGCGACCTCAGACCAAACACTTGACACTTACCAGCTGTGTGACCCTGGGCAAGTTACTTAATCCCAATTGCCTAAAAAAAAAAAAAAAAGAAAAAGAAAAAAAAGAAAATAGTGTCAAGAGAGCTAAAGCTCAGAATGAGCTGAGGCTGGTGAGGGAATTTAAGAACAACAAATACTTTTGTGGGTTTTTTTTTTTAAGTTATATTGGGAGAAATAGAAAGATTGAAGAAAGGATAGGATTTCTGCTTGGGATGGATAGGATGATGATAACTGAAAACAGTGCAGGAAGAGCTGCCGAGTTCATATTTTGCTAGTTTTCTCTGCCAAGGAGAATGACTTTTGTAGAGGAAATGACAGAACAAAAATGGCTAACAAGGCCTCCAAGATAAGTAGGGAAATAATAAGAAAGCACCTAGTTGCCTATGATGAATTCAAGTCACCTGGCCCAATATTCTTGGGTATTAAAAGAATTTGTAGGTATGATCGCTAAGCCGCTATCAGCAATATCTGAAAGATGATGGTAAATAGAAGCCACACCATAAAGTTGAGGAAGAGTTTGGGATTGTTTTACAGTTGCAATATAATACATGATAATGTAATATTGAAAACATCTTTTATAACAAATGATCACATAAAGTGTTTTAAATGCTTTAAAACCTTTTCCTTTAGTGTGACTAGCATTACCCTAACTAAATTCACATTACATAAAGCATATAATTAATGATAATATTTCAAAGCAAATTTCAAATTAACATTTGTAAAAAATAAAACAATGACTGTGAGATTTCACAAAGAAGTAATAGGTGCTCACTCAAAATCAGAAAAGGATCTGTTAAGATTAGCAAAAATGGTCTTGATGACTTCAAGACTGTCTCTATTTTTTTTTCTTTTCTCAGATAGGGAAAAAATTACTCTAACAAGCACTCTGCTTGTCTGGATTAATGTTAAGCTCTAGAGAGAACAGAATC